CTAAAAGTATGAATGTATCATTACTGGTTATATGAAGTCTTCTTTTTTTTTTTTTTAAGATTTATTTATTTATTCATACAGAACTGGGGTACAGGCCAGAGATGCGGAGTGTGAGAGGATTCACCAGGGACAGACTGTGGGGCAGAACAGGCAGATCGACGAAGTACACTGCTGAGGGAGAAGCTGGCGGGTCAGGAGAGGTCTGCCACGCCATGTGGTCACCTCCAGGGCAGGCGGGGATCGAACTCATGCGCAAGTGGCCTAAGTCTCTCAGTGCAGTGCCTTAACCCACTGCGCCACCGGGGAGGGCCTGAAGTCTTCTTTTTAAAAGATTTATTTATTTATGCATACAGAACTGGGGTACAGGCCAGAGAGGAGGAGGGTGAGAGGAGTCACCAGAGGCAGAGTAGGAAGCAGAACAGGCCGACTGATGAAGTACACTGCTGAGCGGAGCAGCGGGCAGACAGGAGAGGTCTGCTGAACTATGTTTGTCCTCTCCCTGGCTGGAGATCGAAGTTGTGCTACACTGGCCACAAATAGCTTGATAGTGCTGTGCTTTAACTCATTTCGCTACAGGGAGGGCCCAGTTATATGAAGTCTTACATTGGGTGAAGTAAGATAAATTGGATGGAAAGGTTTTAAAGGCCCTCTCCCTCTAGTGCAGTGTGGATTATAGGACACAAGAAGGAAAACTTACTGTCAAGTTCAGACACTTGCAACAGGGTGTATAAGGTGAAGTGACTGAGGTATCTGAAATACGTAGGAGCTAGCACCAAGAAGACCTGAATAAATGTTAAGATACAAAGGAACATGTCATGGATAAATCCAAGGTTTCTAGTTTCTAGCTATGGAACCAATTATTCACTGAGAATGTGAAGATTGAATATGTGTGTGCAGTGGTTGGGGTTTTGAGAGACGTTAATAGTCAGTAAATACCAAGGTTTCATTTCACTTATTATTCACTTATTATTATTATTATTACTATTTACTTATTATCACTTATTATTCACTTATTATTATTATTATTTACTTATTATCACTTATTATTCACTTATTATTATTATTATTATTATTATTTACTTATTATCACTTATTATTCACTTAT